AAGTTATGAATTCTATGACCTCTATAAGAATCTAATTTAAAAGAAGAGAAAGACAAATCTATAACAAAACTTCCACTATTTCATGATCACTTGCTAGGAGAGACAGTGAAAGAGACATTTGTGACTTGCGAGGGGTTTGTAGTTGATGTGGAAATATTTAGAGTTATAATTATTGCAGGCAGACTTGGTGCAAGCAGCCTTGCTTGAGCTTCCCAACCTTAACTATTTTGTGTTTATGTGAATATCTGCTTCCTAACAATTTGTGTGTGCTCTGATCAAATGGGATAATGGGTTTCTGAAATGACAACAGCCACACAGGCAGGCACTGGCTGTATCTGCCCCACAAACACTGATATTCCCCCAAACACAGGGAAAAAGATCTCCCTCTAATCTCTGAACATGCGTTCAAGCACTTCCAGTGCAAAAACAATTGCTTTACCCTGTAGCAATACAACAAAATGTGTCTTGAGTCCTGAGCAGGGGCCAAGTTATCTTGGGACATTTTTTTACCACCCTTCCAGTGACATGGGATCAGGAGAGATAAATAATTAAACCACGATCTTATGGTTACAATGCAATGCTATGAGAAAGAGATGTGATTGTTCCCATTAAGGAATCTCTCAATGAGTCTGAATTTCTTTGAAATCCAATATTAACTGAAATTGTTTGAGTTCATGATGTTTGATTGCAAAGTATTTTTGATTTTTTTTCATTTTTAATGTATATCATCAATCTTTATACTGACATTGTTTCTTTTCTTAGCCTGGAGTAATTTTGCTAATTTAGATGTATTGCTCTATGTGATGTGGATACAGAGAGAGAGGGTGTGTATACATGTTTGTATGTATATTGGAGAGAAGGAGAGGGGTGATTTTGCTAATTCTAAACTCTAACCCCCATAAATATTTGTACTTAAGCCATTATTTCTCATTTCTCATAAGCTGAGGTCACTGCTCCATCTCTTAGACCTGCAACAGCTGCCAGTGCTTCTAGACAGTTCAGATCTTTTTCCAAGTGCAATTATTCTGGACTACAGAAATTTTGTTTTACTTCCAATTTAGACCTCACTGGATTGTTTGTTCTCTTATCTTCAGCCATGCTGGGCTGTTGTGTTTCCAACATTCGTAGAGACAACCCAAAACAAAGTTCTGGCCATCTGTGGCATTCTCAGATTAAGCATATATTGAGAAATTTTTATTTAGAAAGACATAAACAAGTGTCCACTGGTGCTTTAGAGGAATAAAGTACTACTTTGAACTGGAATGGAGACTGTAAGAGGTTTGTAATAGGGAGGAGATTTTTTTTTCTATTGTTGATGTAATGTCTTTCTACTGTTTGCAGCAGAAAAAGAAAAAAAAAAAGAGGAGGGAAGAAATAAGCTTTTGTTTACAAGAAATATTGATTAAGGGTCTTAAAGTCTTCAGAATGGTAAATGAAAAGATGAACTTCTGTTACATGTGTTTTTAAAAGAGTGACCAGGCAAGTAGACTTTCCCAGGCACTTAATATCCATTAAGAAACTTTGCCTCAAAACTGCACCTACAAAAGCAGCTGGGCAAAAACTGGAGTTTCTTTCTATAGTAACTAATATTTAGAAGGGAAATTCAGTTATAGCCAGATTTGTGGCTGTTTGTTTCCATCATACAAGGCAGGAATCTTCCTCCCAAATTTAAACTCAAGCAATTAATATACTTCAAGTTTTTTAGATTTCCTGTGACAAGTGAGTGTGAGAATTTGTGGGAGACCTTTGGTGTCAGTATGTGCTGGAGAAGGGAGATGGATGATTTTTTCCACTGTTAGCTGAGCACTAGACAACACAGGAACAGCTTCAGAAGGGACACAGCTTATCCATCTCTTTTTGGCTAATTGCTTCTTGGATATGCACCAAAGAGAGGGGTTGGGAAGCCAAGAACCCCAGGGAGTGGAGAAGCTCTGTGGTGGAGTGGAGGTCTGGGCTGAGGTTCCATTTCCAGCAGCTGGAAGCGTTCCCTGCCGCCACAGTGACACAAACCACCCGCTGAGGTGTCCTCATGGTGAGAAGATGGATGAGCCTGAGTATTCCTGGGTGTCTTTGCTTTCCTGTAGTTCTAATTGCTTGTCAAAAGTGAGGGGCTTTTTGTTTGTTTGTTTGATTATAATTCTATAGTAAGTGCTTTTCAAACACTATTTTCATTACTCCAGTGTGAGCAAACTGGAGATGTCATCCTGATAAACTATCAAGGACATACGGCTTTGAAAAGCAGGTTCTGCGAGAGGGGATTGACATTTTCTGGGCTCATCATATGGCAGGATTTGTAGTAGTAACTGCTGGAAAGCCAGGAAAGTTGTTGTGCCTTGGATTAAAAACCAAAAACTGATGGATTGACCTGAATTTCTTATTCTTAATTTAAAATATCGCAAAAATTACTCTTGGATTTTTCAGGGTTTTCCTGTAACCACACTAACAACGTAATTGAGGTTTGAATTGTGTTTACTCTGGAGTTTTTTCCCAGATGTTCTTGCTGAGAGTCTCTAGAAATTTAAGAATTATATACTGAATAAATGAGATGATTGGATGAGCAGATGAGTGCCTTGTGTTTAGTATGATCTCTGTGTGTCAGAGCAGCACGGAATAAAACACCTTTTTCTCTGTAAGAGGTAAGGCATTCCTGTGAGGAACAGGGAATTGGACTCAGATGATCCGTGGGTCCCTTCCAGCTTGAGATGTTCTCTGATTCTATGAAAAAATTGTAGCTGGTTACAAAATAGTGCAGAACAAACAGAGAATGGCAGCAGTTCACACAAATGGAACAGGTTAGAGAAGAGGTCTCTAAGAGGTACTTTGGAGGTAGCAGGAAGGTGGGCTCTAAGGCATTGTAACATGGAGTGTCTTACACAGGCCAAGAGAAGGCTTGTGAAGGGGTTGGATAATTGATGGTCTGGGTGGAGGGGAAGCAGCCATATGGGTGTGATTGTGTGGAAGATCTGACTTGAGGAAGGGTGGTGGAAGAGGCCACAAGAAAGGAAAATGCTACTGCCAGAATCGCTTTAGTCAATGTTCAAGGGCAGTATTAATGACCATATTAAGAGGCTGGACTGCAGAAGAAAGTAGAGTGGAGAAAAAAAAACAGGCGTGTTTTCCATTTGAAGAAGAGAAAGGAAAATATATTAAAAAATATAGAAGGTTGGCAGACCTTGAGGTGAGTGTAGATTGCTTGGGGAATAGCACTTTCATTTCAGCTCTGTTATCTTTTGGTTGTAGGCCCCACATACGCAATTCCCCGTGACAAGCTTCTAAAGAGTTCTCAACCCTCAAATTTTATTGGTGCACTGGATTAAACTGTTTTTCAAAAGGATCATTTGATAGGGAATTTAAGCTGGCTTGGCATACCTACCCTGCCACCACTGGGTTTGGCCCCCTCACGGAGATCAGGGCTCCAAAGACTCTGAGAAATACCAGGACCCTGTCCTGTAAAGCGCGGGGTCTACTCTGCAGCTGTGGGACAGGGCATCCAGCTGAGAGCTGTGAGGGCTGCCATGTGTGCAGGGAATGTAAAGTCCCAGGAGTGGCTGAGTGGAACCATGGATGTGTAACCTTTAGAAAAATTTTTTTGGTTTTAAGCATTTTGAGATTGCTTTTTTGTTTTTCAAAGAACTTATTAGAGGTTTTATAAATAACATTTTCACTCCTTCCCTTCATCTACTTGAATTCAGCTTCATCTTCTCTTCGTCTGCCTTCCAAGAAAGACACAAGGACTTCAGAAAGCTCCACAGTGAAAGGACCCCAAATGCCGTGAATGGAGCTTCTGTTGAAGGGGAGGAGGAAGAGGAAACAAGGAGGGTCTTCACTCTTGGCTGTGACTATCCAGAGCTCTCAGGCACAGTGATAGTATGGGATTTCCATGAGAAGTAGTAGAGAGTGTTTGAAGTGGATGGGTGGCTGGGGAACCTAGGGAGTGGGGGATGCTCACGGAGCAGCAGGGCTGCAGTGCCAATTTAGCAGCCGATGGCTGTCCCTGGGCTGTGCCTGTGGCACTGAGGAGGAGCAGCTGACACGGGGTGAACCTGTGCCTGGGCTGGGCCATGCTCTGCCTGCTCCCTTCATCATGAGGGTGTGGGAAGCAGCATAATTGTCTCTGATTCTGGTAAAGAACTAAAAGTTATGGCTTGCCAGAGGTCAGAGCTGGGAAGGGAAGTTAAGCGGCAACAAAATATCCTTGATGTACTTGCTAGCAAAGTGAATATTGCAAACTGCGTGAGCTGGACGGCGTGTCTGCCTTGGCGTTGGTTTGTTCCTGTGGGCTGCTGCATATTGGCTCTGTGAAAAGCCCAGTGTCTGCAGTCCCACTTGGGACTGTCCAGGGCTGCTTGTGCTGCCTTTGAAGCCAGAGCTTCCCAAGCCCAGGCAGGAGCAGCCAGCCTGCTGTTAAACAGGAGATAAGGGGTGCACAGCATGTTTCGGGAAACAAACCTTTTCATCCTGTTTTGTTGTCAGCCTCAGGCACGAAGTGCATTTGATGGGTCACTATACTTTATAACCTCTGTACATTTGTTTTATTGGAGGGGGAAGGCCTGCACCAGAATTTCCACCTGTTGCCTTTTGCTATCACTTTGCTCCTGTTGGATGGGAGGAGAACTGGTCTGTGGTGAATGCAATGGAACAAAATGGTTACCACGGATTTATTTTAAACAATATGTGTCATCATATTGTGATTTAAACAACTTAGTATGGTGCAGAGGCCACACAACTTCTTCTCATCTAAAATAACTCTCCAGTTACTTTTTTTATAAGGCCAGAGGAAAAGATGTCCGACCGATGTGCGCTGCATCCCGTTCCCAGCGCTGCCGGCAGCGATGCTCAGCCGGACAGAGCCCCGCGCTCCAGGCGGGGGTTCCTGTGCGCGGGGACCCGCTGCGGCCCCTGCCCGCTCCCCCGAGATGGCCGGCGCGGCTGTGGCGGCGCAGGGAGCGGCCCCCGGCGCGGCGCGGGGGCGGGCGGGGGCGGGGCGCGGCGGGGGCAGCCCGGTGCCGGCGGGGAGCCCGTCCCCGGCGTGCTGGGCTCTGCCGCCTGTCTCGCTTCCCGCTCTCCCGAGCCGGCAGCACCGTTGCGCAGCTCCCGCGGACCGGCCGGGACGGGACGTGTCGGGAGCTCGGCGGGGCTCGGGGCTTGCGAGGCGAGGCGAGGCTGGACGGCCGGGGCAGGGGCCGAGGCCGCGCGGAGCTGGCGGCGGGGGGCGGCGCGCGGCGCGGTGCCGCCGGGGCCCGGCGCATGGCGGCGGCGGGGGGCATCGCCACGCTGCCCGACGACGGCGGCAGCGGCGCCTTTCCCCCGGGGCACTTCAAGGACCCCAAGCGCCTGTATTGCAAGAACGGCGGCTTTTTCCTGCGCATCAACCCTGACGGGAAGGTGGACGGCGTCCGCGAGAAGAGCGACCCGCACAGTGAGTTGTCCCGGGACCACCGGGTGCGGGCGGCACCGGGGCGCGCGGGCGACTCCTCGCCCGGGCAGCGGGGCTGCGAGAGGGGCCGCGCCTCGGCCGTCCCGCCCTGCCGAAGCTTCGGCAGCGAGCCCTGCTTGGGAAGCGCCCGTCAATGTGCCGAATGTTCGTGCGCGAATAACCGCGCGTCCGCAGACGGAGTTAATTCATAGCGGGTTAATTCATACTCACATCCCGTAGCTGGTGGTCCCGCACCGGCATCCGCGGGATGTCCCGGGCCAGAGCCTCGCTGGCGGCTCCGCGCTCAACCTGCTGGGTACAGAGCTTGTCAGGTGCACAGAGGTTGTGTTAGGGGCTTGAAGGGGTCTCTAGTTCGTTTGCGTGGTCCTTACACGGGTCTGATGGCACTTGACGGCTCTACACGGCGGCGGTGAATGCGCTGGATGCATCAAGGTAGAGAGGAGGCTGTTCTTTTTCCCGGTGCGGGTAGGTGCTCATGAATAGGAGCACTTGTGGTACACAGGTACGCTTAGGAACAGAGGGGTAAACCTGGCCAAGGAAGCAGGGTTTATAACACACTGCTGTCAGAACCTTTTCAGCTTAAAATGTTACACATTGTTTTGTGTTGTTTTTTTTTTTTAAACTTAATTAACGATGATGTAGGTACAGATAAAATGTATGGATTCTAGCAGCAGCAGGAGGCTGTCCCTCCAATACCCGATCTTTTTGAAGGGAGGGAAAGGCTCCTGGGCTGGGAACACAGCCCATGGACTGAATGACCACAGGCTTTCAGGGAGCGTGTGGCAGGTTGCTGTTACCAACACAGGCTGCTTTTTGTCCCACAAACAAATTGCCTTTTGCAGAGCTCAGAATATTTTGGAAGTATTCAGCATGGAGGTTTTGTGGATGTAGTGGTGAGTTTTTGATGCGCCTGTGAGGTGTTTCCGTCAGCGCAGGTAACGGACTTGCTGGGTCAGATCGTCTGCGATTCCTGGTTGGAGGGAATTTGTTACAGTGCTCGCTGTGCAGGTCCTGCCTGCAGGCATTTGGCATGAGGAGCAGGTGAAACGCCTTGCTGGGATTCTTCATCTGCTTTGCACCTGTGCTCTGAGTGACGGATGCAGGGACTGGGTTAAACTCAGGGACTAGGAGGAAAAGGAATTGAGGAGACGGACAAAGATTCTTAATATTACTTTCCACTTCGGACATTCAGCTTTTGGGAAACAATTAGTTTTACCCACAATTCCAAAGAAATCTTGTAACAGAATCCTTAAAGAAAATAAATCTCACTAATTCATCAGACATGTCACCTCACCCTGGAAGTAGCTATGGACATGTGCTGCAAAGGGAGGTGATGTTGAGTGGAGGATGTACAAGGCTGAGTCCAAGACATTGCCATGGCTGTTGGGTTCTTGCCTCATTCCCCATCTTTGCTTTTGAAAAGTGCAGGTGGTGGTGGGTGGTGTTGTGTGCTCACCTGGCTGGGCCAGGCTGCCCTGAGTGGAGCTGGTATTTATCACTGCTGCCTTTTTCATCATAGAGCTCCCTCATAATAATTTCTTCCTTCCTGCCTTTTTTTATTATTCTCTCAGGAAAACTAATACTAGTTTTTCATTCTTGTGTCCATTGAATGTGTGTTTTCTCTTCCTGTTGAGCCTTATCATTACTAAAATTTTCAACTGACGTCTTGTGCTTTCCTGGTAGTGAATTCTCTCCTTTTTTCATTATCAGACAGCTCTTGGCTTGTTGCTTTTTCTTCCTTTCTTTTTTTCCTGGAAGAGCCCTAGTTCTGAGAAGCAGAGAATAATCAGTGCTTGAAGCATCAGCGAGGCTCATTGCTGGGGCATTGCGTGGTTCACATCCTTAGCATCCTTGCTGTAAATACGTCATTCCACACGACTCTGCTCAACTCTGACCTGGTGAGTGCTGCTCTGTGGAAGTCCCTGTGAAATCTCGTGGTATTCCTGGCATGGCAGAGGGCAGTAAATCTTGGACAACCTGAGAGGACTTTAAAAAAGAAATTAGCAATGAAAATAGACACCTCGATTAGTTCAGGGTGATTTTCTTAGTTAAGCAAAAAGTTTTGTAAGGTGGTTTTGAGAAAAGAAATACAATGTCTGCACAATTTGGTTCAGAAATAATTAAAGGCCAGTTAGTAGAGATGCTTGTGGTTGCTGCTATTCTTAGGAATTAATTATACAAAATAACATTTCAGTAGCACATCATCCTTCTTACTTTTAAAGGAAGTTCTTATTTTAGAAGGCAAGTTACTGTCTCCTTATGTTTCAGACCAAAGTTTTAATACTATAAACAACTTCCATGATCCATGTCCTTTTTAGCTCCCCTCCTCCTGCCTCTGTTTGAAATACACATCTGCTTTAGGTCATGGCATGGTTTTACACTCACCCCACTTACCTTCATTTATTCATAATTGTGTTGTTAATGGAATTAAGAATGGAAGTTGACGTCCTGCACGCTGGAGGATTGGGATCGTATGATTCACACAGCTGAAACCCAGGACAGGGCGTCTTCCATGGCCATTATTGCCACATCTGCCGCGTGTGCTGCCGTGCCTCCAGCGAAGTGCCCCTTTGGACACACTCTGGGGACTGTGTCCGGAGTGTTTTCCCTTCAGGAGGTACTTTCAGACAAACAAGAAACAGAAGGCGCTTTCTGGGAGTTTTGTTGTCTAAAGCAAAACAAAAAACATGGCTGGTTTGTTGTTGTTGTTGATCAACAACTGTTGATTTATGCCCTGGAAATGGTACAAAGGACGCAGTGTTTTTGGAAAGGCTCTTAGAAACTCTCCAGAGGTGTTTCCCTCAAAGAGGCTACAGTGAGGGGGAAAAACCTGGAGAATGGAAAGGGAACACTTGTCCATACATTTAGAACATGTCTAGTAGCACAGCTGGTTCCTTTCAGAGTTTCCCTAAATGAGGAATGGTTGGCATTTATGTATTTCCATAATTTCTTAGGCAGCTTTGTTTCATGATGAGCATAACCCAAGACAGTATCCAAGGCCATTCCAAGTATCCTGAGCCATTCTTGTCCATTCCTTAATGAGGTGACAAGGCTCCAGCCTCTCACTTGGAAGGGATTCAGCTGTGTGAGCTCAGTCAACCGTGCAGATGTATGAAATACCTTCTTCCTGCTCAGTACCTCTTTCCTCTTCCACAAATATCTGAAGAAAATGTAAAATACGGTAATACTGGTCCAGGAAAATTTCTTAAGAAGGTTCCTTTCATAAATAGCTGTTAACATTAAGATTTTGACTTGTCTCTCTCACAACATTTAAATGGTTATGCTCTAAATGTTTTGGAAAGAATGCTGAAGTATAGACTGACTTTTAGAGCAGCTCAGTGAAGACGATAAAAATCTGATCACTGATCATGGAATGGGAGAAAATTCATTGTGATCCCCAAGTTGAGCAGATGTCAGGATGTGTTTCCATTTGAAGGTTCAGGACCTGGTGTTTAGCTTTCATAGGTAAGTTGTTTGGCACTCAGATCATCTTCTTTCCCATTTTGGTGGCCCACAGACATGGCCAGAGCTGTTGACAGGGCAAGATCTTTTCCAAACCTTAGCACTAACTGAGAGGTGACTTGTTTAAAAAAAACCTGCTTCTTAATGTTCAAATACATTCCTTCTATGGAAGTCCTTCTGGAAACAGACTCTTTTTGCATTACTTTTGATCTGTTGCACAGACTCTTTTTGCATTACTTTTGATCTGTTGCACTTTGCTTTGCCAAGTACTTTGTGGCATAGCATGGAAATTCCTCCTGGCTCCATCCAAAGGATGTAGCTGCCTTTAGGGGATGAGGTACCAGAGATCCCCTGTGTGAAACAGTTGGGAATATGCTTCCTTTGCTTCTTTTATCATCAAAATATCATCATGTTCCTTCTCAGGGGAGGATGCCTTCTATCACTTCTATTACTGTGTCTGCACTGTGTCTGCTATTCCTCTCTCCCAGTTCCTGGTGAGTCTTGCCCATCCCAGAGCTGCGTGATGCAGTAGCAGTACACTCCAAAGGTGAACCAAGGCAACACGGGATGTCTCCAGTGGGCACTGAACTGTCCTGTCCCCCCCGCAGCTGTTTTCTGCCCAGTTTGGAAGTGGGGAAGCTTCTAAAGGCACCACCACCCACAGGTACACTAGAGGGCAGGATTTAGCCCTTAGATTGTCTCACATAGGAAATCAGGAGCACTTTTAGTACTTACATAGTCTGGTTTGCAGGAAAATGATAATCCAACTCCTGTTAGCCACTGCATTCCCAGAGCTGGAAAAGACAAATGCAGATAACATGTTGTGAGATCAGATGGCTGCTGTTGGTTTTCATCTGTTTCATAAATGCTTGAAAATTGTGCAGCTGATTCTAAGAAAAAGTTTATCTGTAGTGGGGTCATATTTAAAAGCATTTTACAGAAAGTAAATTATTTTAGTAACTCAACCTGAATTTTAAATCATAGTCTTTTCAGTGACACTTTGTAAGCTTTCCCCAGCTCCCCTGGATTACAGATAAGGCAGGCAGTTCCAATAAATGATTATTTGATCATTACGAATTTTAGCACTCTTGGGATCACTGGCCATCTGTTCCAGGATACTTGAGAGGTGATGGATTGTGCTGAGCTGGTTCACAGCCCTGGAATTAATGGTGCTTTTGACTGTCGGTGACAGTGTGTTTAGTGCAATTATCTAATACAACCAAACCAGACCCAGTGCAGCCCAGAGAATGCTCAAGTTACTGTTGCTGAAGAACATACATAAGTGTACGACATCTGTAATTTAGATATCTATACCAGGTGGTATCTGAAGTGTTTATAGCATGATTTTTGAAGCGTTACAGTTGATAATGAGATCCTGTATTGGAGAATTAATAGCCTTTGCTTTTGTTAGCACCTGTTTAAGACTGTGTTTCAAAATAAGGCAGCTCTCTCACCCTTCATCATTTTCAGTAATGTTTGGTAACAATGTGTGGGTCAACTGTTTTGCCTGTGCCTCTTCT